CATTCCAATACCTCATCCACCGCACTTTGTAACCTGAAATTCGGTGACGTAGAATCACCTTTTCAGCGAGCTTAGACGGGGTAGACAATAGGCTAATGGGACGATAGTCCTGGGGAAATATCCCACCGGCTTTGGAATCATTATAACTTTCGAAGTCTTCCTCGCCGATAGAAAGTACTGCGTCCTTAGCATGGCATTGATAATAGCCACGAGATAAGACAAGGACTTCCGTGAAAGCAGCTTCAGCGCCTTATTAGTGATTTGATCCTCCCCAGACGCTTTGCGCACCTTGAGGTCTTCATGTCTTCAATATGACCAAATTTAGCTTCCGCTTTTAGGTACGATGCATATCTCAGCATCAACAGCTACTGCTCGATCAATCTTAGTACAAGCCTGATAAAAGAATAATTGACAATGCGCCACTTTGTCGCATCCCGCAGCACAATAGGTGTAACACGCCCCTGACGGGGTGATTGTGCCAGCGTACCGAGGGTAGCGTTAGATGACGGAGATGTAGTGTTGCAGCCAGCCAAGGAAGCAGCTTGTGAGACTGAAATAGAGTTGTTGCATTTGAGAGTGCTTTGGCAGGCTTGCAGAATCAGCAGAAAACGGATACAGTGTTATGTCCATTGAATTGGTATTGATTGGGGATTTCTTAGTCGGAAAGAAAGGATATTCGTTAATTTTACGAATCTGTCGTTTTTCACGCCTCTTTATAACGGCAAAATCACTACCCTGTACGTCTTCTTCTGTCTCTGTAGGTGAGGTAGGGCTGTTGTGTCTTCTCTTGCTAATCTTACTAGAACTGTCATCACGGAACATGAATTTATTTAAAGAAGTACTAAGGCTAAAAATCTGGGCATTGAGATTGTCTACACAGTCCGTCAGTCTCTTGATTTGAGCTTGCCTGGTCAGCGATGATTTGGCACAGCCTCTCCTTTTCAGTGTCTCTATCAATATCTAGCAGCTGCCAAAGCCTCACTAGGGTTTCTTGTTCTCCAATCTCTCTGGTACGCCGCTTTTTACTTCTTCTCCACTCGCTGTAATCGAGGGGTCGCCTGGTGACCCCTCGGACGTGCGTTCCATCTTATATTCGCCTTGTCTTTCAGCAAAGTCTTAAAATGTTTAAGGAGCAAAAATCTGACAACTTGTCTTTTCCCTGTCTACAGGGCGATAGGCAGTATGGTTTCCGGCACCAGCGATCTACAGTGAACCTCCTAGCTTACGTCACGCAATTGTGAAGTAAAGTCATCCAGTCTTATGGTGAGGCTCATGTCGTTGCTATTGACATCACGAAAGCGTTCGATCAGCTGCGGCACGCTGCCCTCTTAAGCAAACTTCCATCCCATGGCTCCCAGAAAGCTTTGCAGATGGGTGGCTGACTTTATCTCTGGCCACAAGATATCCACCGTAATTGACGGGTTCTCCTATTCATCCCACAATGACAACGCGGGTGTTCCCAGGGATCGGTCTTGGCTCCGACACTGTTCCTCTTCCATATCAATGATCTCCTTTGCTGCACGATCAACCCAAACCACAGCTTCGCTGATGACTGCACTCTACATGCAGGAATTCAGAGTGACAAGCCGATCTCTGCCGCTGAGCTGGAAAAAGGAAGACTAGTGTCGACTTTTCTCTGACGAGAGACCTGGAGGTTATCACTGCTTGGGGAGCGCAACAATCTTGTATAGTTTAATGCCTCCAAAAAACAGTTCTGTACCGTGACGAACAAAAAGACTCCTAGCGCTCATCCGATTTCGATGGATGGCCGAGTTCTGCCAAACAGCCATCATTTCGGGCTGGTCGGAGTCTATATCACAGAGGACCTGATCTGGCACGAACACATCTCGTCAATAGCGGCAGCTGCTGAGAAAAAGCTAGGTAGGCTATTTGTTTAGGGCTAAGAAGTACTTTTCTCCGCACGACCTTCTCACTCTGTCAAGTCTCAGATAAGGCCTAGCCTCGAGTATTGCTCACACGTTTGGGGTACTAACAAACAGTCTCTGGACCCTTTCGCACTGGCGGGTCGATCTAGCTCTCTTCTATCGCTGCACCAAAGGGCTTTGCTCCTCAGAGCTCTCTTTCTTGATGCCGCCACGCGATGTGCCTGCCAGACAGACCCGCCTGACTTTAGCCTCCCATCCTAACCGTATCCAACTTCGTATATCCAGAACTGGCCGATATGACGACTCCTTTGCCCCGAGTATATCGAGATTGTAGAACAATCTACAAGAGAAAGCTTTTCCAGTTCTACTAACCTTAGGCAGTTCAAAAATCGGATTAACAAAATTTCTTTTTGATCATCAAAGCAGCCGCGGTGTCCCGGCATTTAGGCTTCTGCCTGCGCGGCTACTTCGGTATAAAAAAACAAATTATCCGACTTAATTAAATTGAATTTTCTGGAACCGATTTAATTGAAAGTGTATAATTAGGTTAGATAATTTAGTTTATGTAGAAAAGGTACATTTAAAACAATTAAACATCTCAATAAAAACAGTTAAACTGTTTACTTGAATCCCGACACGGCAGGACTCGGCCCTGCTTGTGTGAATGATCGGGAGTGTGCGACAGACGTAGTGCCGGTGACGCACTGTGTATAGGGAAACATAGGCTTTATATGATATTGAAGTGGAGCCTCCTGTTGGGTTGACTTTGTAGTATTTGAAAATATCATAGTTTGTGTAAAGAACTGTCGAATTTATCTATAAATGTAAATATGTTCAATGCGACTGAGGGCAATATTGTTTTATTATTAGAAATAAAAGAACAAGTTTTGTACAGATGATCAAGTGGCCTTATTCAGGTATCCCCATCTCTGCTTCCTGAATGTAAAACAACGAATTATTGCTTCTATAATAGTCGAAGGTGATATATTATAACCTGTCTCTGGACAAACCCACAAATAGTAAATTATTAAAACAGGACTCTCTTTTAACAAACCTGGTTATGCTTATTCGAAATATAAATATATATATATATATATATATATATATATATATATATATAGAACTTGAGACGTGGTCATTGTCGTCTAGACCAGTTAGGTGAAAAAATTAAAGCTTCCGCCTTTTGTTGGGTACTTCGACATTTTATACTGCAATGTCTAGGTTGGCTCTTGTTGTGGACTTCGTGTGTCTTTTTTTCCTTTCCATCTTCGTTTCCTCAGGTTACACCCGTATCCGGATGTGTGGGCATGTGTATCTTCG